CACACACACACACCACACACACACACACACACACACACACACACACACACACACACACACACACACACACACACACACACACACACACACACACACACACACACACACACACACACACACACACATTTTTTTCACACATATCTACATTTCAAATGTAGATATGACAGAGCCCGATAGGCTCAGGAATCTGTACACCTGTTGATTGACGGTTGAGAGGCGGGACCAAAGAGCCAGAGCTCAACCCCCGCAAACACAACTAGGTGAGTACACACACACACACACACACACACACACACACACACACACACACACACACACACACACACACACACACACACACACACACCTGGAACTTTAAGAACAAGAGGTCATAGATTTAAACTAGCTAAACACAGATGCCGAAGAAATATAAGAAATATAAGTCGACCACTTTCGCAGAGTGGTCGACGGTTGGAACAAGTTAGGTGAGAAGGTGGTGGAGGCCAAGACCGTCAGTAGTTTCAAAGCGTTATATGACAAAGAGTGCTGGGAAGACGGGACACCACGAGCGTAGCTCTTATCCTGTAACTACACTTAGGTAATTACACACACACACACACAATAGCTTACTACACAAACTTGAGAGGCAGGCGGGAGTAAGTGAAAGAGCACTGACATGGATAAGGGAATACCTAACAGACAGGAGTCAAGAGCTTCACAATGAGGGGAGTAGGAGAAGTTGGACTGCTGGAGGGGGGGGGGAACAAGAGGAGTGCCTCAAGGATGTTGACCAGACCACACACTAGAAGGTGAAGGGACGACGACGTTTCGGTCCGTCCTGGACCATTCTTAAGTCGATTCATTCTCACAATCTATTTGAGAATGGTCCAGGACGGACCGAAACGTCGTCGTCCCTTCACCTTCTAGTGTGTGGTCTGGTCAACATACTTCAGCCAGGTTATTGTGACTCCTCGCCTGCATACCTCAAGGATCATGAACCATACTATATCTCATTCATGTTAATGACCTAGCTACAGGAGTTGAATCTTGTATGTTTTGCATCGTTTACAAACGCTACAAAAATTAATAAGTTGAGACAGATGATAACTGTAAGATGCTTCAGGATGACTTAAACAAACTACAGAGTTAGTCCAAGAAGTGGCTACTAGAGTTAAGCACCAGTAAGTGTAATATGATGGAAAGGGGAACACGTGGCAGGAGCCTACAAGAAAAATACACAATGAAGGGGAAACTACTTCCCAATAACTAGAGGAAAAAGACCTGAGAGTGAACATAACACCAAACCTAACTCCGGAGGCTCATATAAATAAGATAGTGTCAGCTGCGTGCTCAACACTAACAAAAGTCAGAACCCAGATTCACGAAGCAGTTACGCAAGCACTTACGAACGTGTACATCTTTTCTCAAACTTTGACGCCTTTGGTTACATTTATTAAACAGTTTACAAGCATGAAAACTTGCCAATCAGCTGTTGTTATTGTTATAAACAGCCTCCAGGTTCTTCGGAGCTTATTAACTGTTTAATAATTGTAAACAAAGTCGCCATAGATTGAGAAAAGATGTACACGGTCGTAAGTGGTTGCGTAACTACTTCGTGAATCTGGCCCCAGAATATCATTCACGAGCCCAAATATAATTTTGCTTTGGACGGTGAGTTTATTGGGCAGCGCCACTCATCCTGTGAGTGACCACACCGCCATAGCAGCATGTACAACACTCCCTATTAGGAAGAAGAAAAAAATCATCCTGTCACTTGTAGTCAGACACAGCTGGGACTTGCTTAACTGTCTCAAGTGAACAGACTGTCAAACACAGGATTAAGTTCTTACAACCCGCAAGCTTATGTTATCTTGCGGGAGCAAAGTGGAGGAACTTGTTGAGGATTGTCTCAATATTGGACTAAAAGGACTTTCCAAAGTCAACAATATGGGGTTTGTTATACTATACTTGTGTCTAATGTCTCTTATATAGTGGTCCAGACGACGTCCCTCACTCGTGCTGTAAACTAAATAAGAAAGCATTTATATCACTGTACACCGCCTATGTAAGATCAGTTTTAGAATTAGGCGCCCCATTGTGGAAGTTATCTTGAGGTTATCTTGAGTGATTTCGGAGATTAGCGTCCCCGCGGCCCGGTCCTCGACCAGGCCTCCTTTTTGTTACACACGCCCCAGGAAGCAGCCCGTAGCAGCTGTCTAACTCCCAGGTACCTATTTACTGCTAGGTGACAGGGGCATCAGGGTGAAAGAAACACTTTGCCCATTTGTCTCCGCCTCCACCGGGAATCGAACCCGGAACCTCAGGACTGTCCGAAGCGCTGTCCACCCAGCTGTCAGGCGCCCATGTAGGAAACACAGAAACTGAAAAAGCTTGAGACGATTACAAGGAGGCTCGTCCCACAAGAGACTCTAATACAAACTGCAGGATCCAACAGGAGTAACTGGGAGTGTTGAAGATGATCAGTGAACCTCTCTGCTGGGAAACAGAAGGTCACGATGCGAGGAGAGACCTATGAGTGCACGGAGGTCACCATAGGAGTACCACAGAGGTCACCACTTGGGCCATTAATTTCTGATATGGGAGGTATACTTTAATGACCTGACCTGACCTTCCCCTGACCCTCGTTCTCCCTCTCCTGGCGCTCTCAGGGAGCCGGTCGGCCGAGCGGACAGCACGCTGGACTTGTGATCCTGTGGCCCTGGGTTCGATCCCAGGCGCCGGCGAGAAACAATGGGCAGAGTTTCTTTCACCCTATGTCCCTGTTGCCTAGCAGTAAAATAGGTACCTGGGTGTTAGTCAGCTGTCTCCGGCGGCTTCCTGGGGGTGGAGGCCTGGTCGAGGACCGGGCCGCGGAGACACTAAAAAAGCCCCGAAATCATCTCAAGATAACCTCAAGATAACCTTCAACGCTCCCGCCATGACCCTCACAGGAGAGGTGAGTGGTGTGCCTGAGGCACTCAACCACAGCAGGTGAGGTGGATACCTGGTTGATGGGGTTCTGGGAGTTCTTCTACTGCCCAAGCCCGGCCCGAGGCCAGGCTTGACTTGTGAGAGTTTGGTCCACCAGGCTGTTGCTTGGCGCGGCCCGCAGGCCCACATACCCACCACAGCCCGTGTTGGATGATACTCCGTGTTGACCAACATGGCGGCGGCGCCTCCATCCTGGCACAAGTCTGAGGTGTTAGCAGAAATCCCACCCACTCCTTCCCCACCTACCTCCTCACGCCCACACGCCTCCCTCCCTTGCCGCAACGCTGCTCACCTACAGCGTTGCCAACGGGAGACATCTCCCGTCACGCAGGGTGCAGCCGCACCTCCACAGATCTCCAGTATCATCTATTGATACTGGAAATGGCTCAAAAGGGCCACTACTTATGGGCTATTCATGCCCATGCCACCTTTTGGGTGGCTTAATCTCTCTCTCTTAGCGTTGCCAGATTGGGCTACAAATAGCGAATTGGGCTACTTTTGAGAGCCCCGCGCTCCCATATTTTTATTTCGCTACTTGCTACCTTTTTGGGCTAATTTAAAAGCAAGATGTGCTAATTTGGGCTATTAATGTTAAGAATGTACGATTGCGAGTTACATGAAAGTAACTAAGCTATAAATAATTGTAATTA